TGAGAACCATTAGCCTATTTATTTTGTAAAGCCTATCTGGGACTGAATGGAAAGTGCAGTTAGATCTTCCTCAATAATTTTCTTCCCATTCTCTCAGCCAACAATAAGCACCATCCTTGTTGCCAACCCCTGAAGGTTATGGTGCCCTGATCGGGAGAGACCCTCATCTTTATCACCTTGACGGTTCATTTTGGTGAGCTATTTAACTGCTTGTGGCATCATTTTTCAAGTTGCTGCAGTCCACACACAATCCCAATGTGGGTTCAATGGTCTGCCTATGATTAGCCCAGATCAGCTTGGACTCTCCTGCCTGTAAACCTTCAATAATCTCTGATGAACGTGAATGTTTGGAGACGGTTCTCAGAGTTGAATTTTCCAAGGCAGCTCAACCTGAGCAGGATAAAGATACATCATGCTGGAAATACTCAGCAGGTCTGATGGCACCTGGAGATAGAGAAATAGAGTTAACTTTTCAGATCAATAACATTTCATCACAACTTCTAATCAGGTCTCATACACATATGGCCCTTTGCCTATGACTCTGTGTATGAGTGTGTACCATTGTATATGCTGATGCTAAGAACTCAATATAGGCTTGAATGTACAGCTGCACAGATAAGAACTTAAGAAATAGCAGTAGGAGTTGGCCACTCAATCCCTCAAATTTGCCCCACCATTCAACAAGATAATGTCTGATCTGCCCCCAGCTCCTCAGAACCCTCAACTCGCCAATATTTCAGCAATCTATTTACCTCCTCTTGGACCATAGCATTTTGTAACAACAGATGTTAGGCCAACTGACACTTACCTGGAATGGTGCAGTTTCAATAATACTCAAAAAGCTCCACACTATTCAGGACAAAGCAGTCCGCTGATTGTTATCTTGTACATCCACCGTCTTCATTTATTCTTTCCACCAGTAATGCACAGTAGCAGCAGCAGTATGTACCGTCTACATGATGCGTTGTATTAAATCACCAAGGATCCTCTGAAAGTACCTCCCAAACCCATGACCACAACCATCTAGAAGGATAAGGGTAGCAGATATACGGGAACACCACAACCTACAAGTTCCCCTCCAAGCTACTCACCATCCTGACTTGGAAATATATCAGTGTTCCTCCAGTGTTGTCAGGTCGAAATCCTGGAATTCCACAATCTACTTGGATTTCCGGAAGGCCTTTGACAAGGTGCTACATAGGAGGCTGTTAAATAAGATAAAAGCCCTTGGTGTTTGGCGCACGGATTAACTGAGTGGCAGAAGACAGAGAGTGGGGATAAAAGGGTCTTTTCAGGATGGCAGCTGGTGACTAGTGGAGTTCCGCAGGGATCAGTGTTGGGACCACAACTATTCACATTATATGTTAACCCCATCTGGGCAAAGGAGCCGATGGCATTGTTGCTAAGTTAGTAGGAGACACAAAGATGAGTAGAGGGACAGGTAGTGTTGCAAGGAGGCTGCAGAAGGACTTGGACAGGCTAGGAGAACAAGGCAAAGAAGGGGCAGATGGAATGCCACATGGGAAAGTGTGAGGGTGTGTACTTTGTTCAGAGACTTAGAGGAAAAATAGTCGACTATTTTCTAAATAGAGAAAGCCTTCAGAAATTTGAAGCGCAAAGGGAATTAGGAGTCCTGGTTCAGGATTCTCGTTTGGTTAACATGCAGGTAGTTAGCAATTAGGAAGGCAAATGCAATTTTAGCATTCATTTCAAGAGGACTAGAATACAAGAGCAGGGATGTGCTGCTGAGGCTGCATTAGGCTCCGATCAGACTGCATTTAGAACATTGTGAGCAGTTTTGGGCCCAGTATCAAATGAAGGATGTGCTGCCTTTGGAGGGATTCCAGAGGAGATTTACAGGGCTGTCACATGAGGAGCGGTTGAGGACTCTGTGTCCGTATTTGATGAAGTTAAGGAGGATGAGGGGGAGATCTCATTGAAACTTACAAAATACTGAGAGGCCTGACTAGACTGGACGTGGAGAGGACGTTTCCACTAATAAGAGAGACTAGGACCCAAGAGCTCAGCCTCAGAGTGAGGGGATGACCCTTTAGAACTGAGATGAAGAGGAATTTCTTTAGACAGAATGTGGTGAATCTGTAAAGCTAATTACTGTGAAGACCAAGTCATTGAGCATCTTTAAGACAGAGATAGATAGGCTCTTGATTAATAAGAGGGTTACAGGGAAAAGGCAGGAGAATTGGGTTGAGAAACACATAAGCCATGACTGAATGGTAGAGTGGGCTCGATGGGCCAAATGGCCTAGTAGTTCCTCTATATCTTGCAGTCTTATGGATAACACTTTCTGTGGCTGGTGTACACAACCACAATGGCCAGCAGCTTAGTAATAGGCACCAATGGTAAAAACAACAACCCAGAATGACAGAGATAGTAGGAACTGCAGATGCTGGAGAATCTGAGATAAAAAGGTGTAGAGCTGGATGAACACAGCAGGCCAAGCAGC